ATTAACCAGCAAATTTGACTTGTATGCTTCCCGAAAGAAAAGAAAACCTGTGAGGTCAGATCTGGACAGTTATTTAGATGATGAAGTTGTGCCCAAGTCTCTCGACTTTGATGTTTTATGCTGGTGGAAGTCAAACAAGGGTAAGTATCCTATATTACACAAGCTTGCAAGAGATATTCTGGCTATTCCTGTCTCTACGGTGGCCTCTGAGTCTGCCTTTAGCACTAGTGGACGCGTCATTTCTCCTCATCGAAGTAGGCTTAAACCAAATACCATAGAAGCTTTGATGTGCGCCCAAAGTTGGTTGCGTGCTAATTCAAAAGGTAAACTAACTTATTCTATTTGCATATGTTCTTATTTATGTAAACAAAGTTAGTAGCATTTCTAATTTTTTTTTTATTGTTTTCAATGTTATGTTATTAGTGGATAGCGAGCATGATACAGTCCTTCATGATTCTGATGAAGACACAGATGATGAAACAAAGGTACTGCTGGTTTTTGTGTTGTTGTAGAGCTGTTCTTTCTGCTTTGTTCTTTTGTTGGTGCGGCCACAAGTTGTCTTTTGTTATCGAAGTATTGCCCATTTATTTAGTTGTCTTTTGTTGTTGCTGCCTCAAGATGTTGATAATGGAAATAAAGATTAGATGAAGAGGTATGCATGCTGTTTGAGGGATGCTTGCAGGCTGAAGAGATGTAATCTGTCCAGGAGATAGTGGAAGAACAAATCTATGGCAGAGGGTGTTTTCATTTCATTAAGTTTGAAACTTAGTTAATCAAATTTGAACGATTAAGATTGTGTTGGCAGATTTTTATTTCTTTTTGTTGGGATTACTCATGTGAAACTTTGGTTATAACTTCATTTGGAGAATGTTTATGTTATGAATTTTAGTTGATTACTTCTTACATCAGGTGTCATTCATGGGTTAGTGTGGGTGTTAATCTTGGTTTAGAACATAATTTGCAGATATGGGTCAGGGCGGGTTTTACCCGCCCCGCGCGGGGCACAGCATGGGTCAGATTGTGCCGACCCGTCGCGGGGCATGGGGCAGGGCGTGGGATTAGTGGTACCCGCCCCAATCTGACCAGTTGCCATCACTACCTGGAAACGCAAGTAGGACCGTATAGGAGACACGAGAGAAGGGTGAGGGACGCGAAACCGTGCCCAAAATGAACGGGGAAACTCACCGGAAAATCGCCGGAAAGTGGTCAATTTGAGGAGAGGGGAGAGGAAATGAGAGGAAGAGAGGGGAAGTTTTGGAAAAAAAATGAGAGGAGAGAGAAGAGGCGACTGGGGGATTTGCTTAAATAGCAAAAATCCCCGGCCGGGCCTCAAAAATACCCGGTCGGGGTTTTTTAAAACGCGGCGTTCCACGTTGCCAGAAATACCCGGTCGGTTATTTTTGAGTCAAGGTCGGGTATTCTCGTTTTTTCGCCCCAAAAGACAGAAGGGGTCCCAGCCAAGAGGCCAAAATATCCGGTCGGGTATTTTGGGCCCGAGGTCAGGTATTCCCATCTTGGTGCCCAAACTCAGGGGGGGTCCCGCACGTGGCACACAAATACCCGGTCGGGTATTTTTGGCCACGACCGGGTATTTTCCCCTTTTTGGCCAAAAATCTCTTTTTCTCATTTTTTTCGAACTTCCCTGCACGAAAATACCAAACCGAGGCAGATCAGACGACCTAACTTTACCATAGACGTGCAACTGACTCGACACAAGACAAAACAAAAGAAAAAGGGAAAAAGAAATGCAAACCGTGGTAGGGTTGCCTCCCTACAAGCGCTTCTTTACCGTCTTTTAGCTTGACGCCCATGGTGGATACTCAGAGTGGTGCAGGAGCATGTGCCCCCAGGAGCGGATCCAAAACCAAAGTCCCATCACGGACATCTATGAGGGCCCTGGCGGTGGCCAGGAAGGGCCTTCCTAGAATAAGGGGCACTTCTGTGTCTTCATCGATGTCTAAGACAACAAAGTCCACAGGATAACAAAATTTGCCAACCTTAACCAAGAGGTCTTCCACTATACCCCTAGGATGAACCACAGATTGATCGGCTAATTGAATACTCATCCTAGTTGGGCTGGGTTCACCTAGGCCTAGTTTTCCTAACAATTTGTATGGGATAACATTGATACTAGCACCTAGATCCGTCTGGGACCTCTCTATATGTAATTTGCCAATGGAGCAAGGGATAGTGAAATTACTTGGGTCCTTCTACTTCTCTGGAAGCTTGCTTGCAGGATGGCCGAGCACTCCTCGCTAAGCATCACTGTCGAGAGATCCCCAAGTCGTTTTTTGTTGGTAAGGAGATCCTTCATAAATTTTGCGTACTTGGGCATCTTCGACAGTGCCTCCACGAACGGCAGGCTGATGTTGACCTGCTTCAGCATTGTCGTGAATTTGTCAAACTCCGCCTCCAGCTTGTCCTTGTATAGTCGAGTGGGGAAGGGAAGCTGGGGAACATGCTCCTTAACCACCGGTTGTGGCTTGGGAGCAGGTGCTTCCTTCTCCATCCTCACTTCTGCATCGTCGGCTGGAAATATTGAAGCAGGTAGTGGCTCCTCCTGCCTGGCTGTGGCTGATACAGCCGATGTTAGCTTGCCACTTTGACACGCCAAAACACAACACCAAACTGCGACCAAGTGTAATCGCAGTCCGGGAATGCAGTAAAGTGGCGAGTTCTATTATCAACCCGGGGTCTAGATCTACTGCCTACTCCGTGATTATCTATTATCTAGCCAACTAAGTCAAGTGATTGTTGTTTTAAGCAAAAGCAGTAAGAAAGCGGGAATTGGTACGGTTTTCTCAAGCAAAGAAGAGTCACTCGGGAATGCGTCCCAGCTCCTTAGTTAGGTATCAATTGTAATTACCCTGGGTTGATTTACTGTTGATTAGACTATGGAAGATCCGACAGTAGCTTGGAATCTCTTAAGCTGACCAAGCCCTCTCAGTCTAACTACCCGGCAGACGACTAGTCTTCACCTGGATAGAAAGCTGAAGCAATAAGCACATAACTCCACTACTGGAATTGGATTCCAGTACAAAGCAGTAAACTGGCTAACTCTCGTATAGCCAGTCTCCTACTAACAAATGATGAAGCTCTAACAACCTAATATGATTCTATCTATCTCAGGTTGCAGCAGAAATCAAGAAAAGCTTATCAGACTTCAATCAATTCAATAAAACATGCATCATTCGATTAAAACCAAACAGTATAATCATCCCAAGTCATTACAATCAAATCCCTAACACATGGAACTAGGGTTCTTCATACCCAAGTGAGAGAAGGGTTCTACTCCATAGAGAGAGAGAGAGAGAGAGAGAGAGAGAGGAAAACAGAAATCAGAGTAGTCATACTCATAAAGATGAGGAAAATCTGCTCTGTGATGTCAATCTTCACTCTTGGGGACACAATCTGGGCTTCAATGGTGAGAAATCCACTCCAAATAGCTCCTAGGGTTTGTTCTTCGCACTTTCTCTCTCTAAAACTCTGTTTTTGCTCCAAAAAGTCGACTCCCTCTGTTTTTGCTTGAATCTGCCTCAAAAACCCGATTCTGGGCGAATTACGGGCAGAATTAAGACCGTAATTGTGGTATGCCCGTAATTGCCCAAAACGCGCGTTTCGCTTGACTCGGAAGAAGGTATTCACGGTCATAATTTTCTAATTAACGCCAGTAATTACTTAATTACGACCGTAATTCAAGTGACTCTTGCCCTTAATTGACTCTACGACAGGAATTCTGGAAATTAGGCTCGGCATTGGAATTACGGGCATGCCAGTGACAATTACGACGGTAATTGTGCATGGGCTGCCCGTAATTTTCCCTTTAAAGCGCAATCCGACCTCCAAATGACCCGAAACTTGCGCCTATGCACCTCTGTACTTGCTAGGACCTGAAATACGCCAAAACAACACAACCTAGCGTAAAATAGGCCAAGGAACAACAAATTCGAGCTAAAATGATCAAGAAACGAGGGTGCAAATATGTGCAAATCCGATGTTATCACACTTCTGGTAGTGATGGCATTCAGCTGCAGGTGAGGTTCCCGCGGATTGGGGACATTGGTGGCAGGAAGAGTTCCTGGTGCCCTGGTATTATTATGACGAGCTATGCCTCCAATCTGATTTTGGAGGTCCTGTAATATGGCACCTTGGTTCCTCTGGCCTGCCTCCAGTGAGGCAATGTTCTGGTCCATCCTGGCAAAATTCCCCTGGCTGGTAGTTATGAATGCCGCTAGGATGTTTTTCATCTTTCTCACCTGATTATCTGGAGCTGAAGCTGCTTGTGGCTCGACATATTGGCGTTGCGACTGCTGAAATGGTTGCCCTTGTCTGGGCTGGTAAGGCTGCCTCTGCTGGAAACCACTAGCTGGTGCTGGAAAACCGGGTGGTTTAGTGGTGTTGTTATTATTCCAGGAGAATTTGGGATGCGGGCGCCATCCTTCATTATATGTCTCATTGTAAGGGTTAAGGCGCCGAGCATTGGCGATGAAGGCCAACTGCTCCTGGGGTGTAGAAGACTCCCTCATAGTCTGGCAGTCTTCCACTAGATGGTTCAAACTCTCACACCACTGGCACTGTGCAACTGAAGGTCCGGCCAGACCTGTGCCCGGAATAAGACTGTTGGGCTGCTTCAATGTCTGTACAACCTCAGCCACCTCCCGCTCTAGCCCGGACCTGGCCTCCATGGCGTGCACACCACGATCCCGGGAATAATTTTGAGATCAAGCCTTGTTGGATCCAACTGATTACATCCTCTATTCAGTCCCAAACAAGCAACTCGTGAAGGCACAAGTGGGACAAAGCAAACAAACAATGCGAAAAAGAAAAGCCAAATTAACAGAAACCACGTTTCTTCAACAACCTAGCCGTCCCCGGCAATGACGCCAAAAACTTGACTCGCCTTTACCGTCACACTAGAAAATGGCCAAGTGAAACCACTTACTAGAGCGTAGTATAGCGGGTATGGGTTCTAATGTCAACCCGGGTCCGAAGTTTGCTGACTACTCCATGAATTCTTATTATTTAGCAATGTGAATGTAGTGAAGGTCTAAGTAAACAAACAAGCAAAGCAGTAAACGGTTGTTTTCAAGTTGAGAGAGGTCACCCGGATATGGTTCCCCCTAGACTGCAGTTAAGCAAGATTGTAATTTACCAAGTTCGAATTCAAAGGTAGTTATACTGCGGGAGGTTCTTAAACAGTCTGCAGTGTCGACTAAAGGTCTCCAGACCCTCTCAATCTGAATCCCCAGCGGGCAACTAACCTCCACCGGAGTAAATAGATTGAGGCCCTAACGAACAAAACCTCCTCTACTGGAATAAAGCCAGTACAGAATAGTGAATTGAATCCTCGACTAAAGTCGCCAATTCACTACCTTCAATCAAGGGTACTCTATCAACCTAGGCAGATATTATCTTTCTAGGTCAAAGCAGGAACAACAGGAATGTGATCAGGATTCATGCCATTCATCAATTCAAACCTCAATTGAATATAATCAAACCAATGGATTCATACTTGGGTTCATACAATCAGACCTAACACACAAATCTAGAGTTCTCCATACCCAGATGAATGAGGAAGTTACTCCATGGAGAGAGAAGCAAAAGCTAGCTCAGATGCAGAAATCATGCTGTGAAGGATGGGATTCTGCTTCTGGTCGTTAATCGACACTTCTCCAAGTGTTAGGCGAGCTCCAATGGTGATGATGATCGTTCTAAAGCACTTGGGAACTCTGGTTCGTCACTTTCTCTCTCTAGGTATCACTTTCTTTCTCTAAAACTCGAAACCCTTCAAATTTGCCCTTCTTTTCCCTTAAGAACCTGCCATTCGCGATCCCCGGTCAGAATCCCCGATTGGATATTTTAGGTGCCCGGCCAGGGACTTTTGAAATGCACCGCGTTGGCAGAGGATTAATCCCTGATCGAGGTCAAGAATACCCGATCGGGGATTTAAGCATTCCGGTCGGGACCCCTCCTGGGATTTCAGCTTTTCCCCGACCTCTCCTTGCCTTTTACCCGGCCGGGTATTTCCACTCCTGGCCGGGTATTTTGCTCCTCCAGCTCCCTTTTACTCCAACGGTCTCCTTTTGACCCGAAACTCGATTCCTCACCTCCATGTCAACGCCAAATCCTGAAATGTGACATAAACATACAACCTAGCGTGAAATCTTCTTAAAACACGAGAATCAACATCTCAAATGGCTCAAGAATAGAGGTAAAAATATGTGCAATTAATGGTCTATCATGCACATTGATCAATGCCTTCGCGGTGGCCAAAAAGGGCCTACCCAGAATAAGGGGGACATCCACATTGTCCTCGATGTCGAGAATGACAAAATCGACCGGATAAATGAGAGTCCCAATCTTAATAAGTAGATCCTCAACCACACCCTTAGGATGCAATATGGATCTATCATCCAACTGAATATTCATCCTAGTAGTTCTAGGTTCACCTAGGTCTAAACTTTTAAAAGACCTATACGACGTCACATTAATACTAACCCCTAGTGAAACTCCCTGGATCTTTGTGCTTTGCAGGAAGGTGGTTCTGTAGGATGGCTGAGCACTCCTCATTCAGGGTCACGGTGCCATTCCTTCCAGCTTCTTCTTGTTGGTGAGGAGGTTTTTCAAGTACTTTGCGTACTTGGGAATCTGAGTGAGGGCTTCGACAAATGGAATGTTGAGCTGCAAGTGGTGCATCAACTCCATGAAGTGAGCGGACGTTGCCGCCATGTGATCTGTGTGGATTCTGGAGGGGTAAGGATGAGGTGAACTTGCTTTTTCCTTTTTCTGTTCTAATTGAGGATTCGAGTCTGCCTTATCCCCACTAGTTGCACTTGTGCCCCCTTCTTTCTCGAGGAAAGTAGTGGCTTTGTTTTGCTCTTCTAACCTAGGAGGTTTCTTCTGGGGAGTACTTCTCATGTTTCTCTCCCACTACGAAGGGTCACCACCCCCAGTTCCTCTTCTTATGATTGTCTCCGGGAAAGAGCTGCTTGCGAGATAGCCCCCATCCTTGTGGTCAAGGTCGTCAAAAGTGATTGATGACTTTGCAACCCTACCTTTATGGACGATAATTTTTCTGTCACCTCCCCCATGAACCTTTCTATTTTTCCAAACTTCTTGGAGCTGAAACTAGCAAAGGTGGTCACAAGCTCCTCCAGAGCAGACATTCTGTCGAAACATACAGGGGAGATAGAGTACAACTTCTCACAAGAGACATCTTCCTCGTTTATCACTTGGCACTCCGCTTCTTCATAGTTCGTACTCGCACTACAATCACATGATGTCAGCCCTTCTTCTCCTGCTTCTTGTCTTCCAGGAGCGCATCAAACAAGCGGTCAAGCTTTGCTTCAAGTGGAGCACTGACTCCTATGCTTTTTACTCCTCTTTCGGTACTATTCTTACCACTCCTTGTCAAACCCCAATCATACTCTTTTGTCGCCATGTCCTCGAGCAACTCAGTCACTTCGGGTGGAGTCTTGTTCATCAACTTTCCTTGACATAAAAGGGTCAATGAGAATCTTATCCTCTTGGTGGAGACTTCCATAGAAGGTCTCTATCCAAAATTTCTCCTCGAACCCATGGTGTGGGCATTGGAGGAAGTAATCAGAGTATCTCTCCCATGCATCCATCAACGAATCATCCTCCTCTTTCTCGAAATGAGTGATCTTCTTGCACAACTCTGTCGTCTTGGAAAGAGGACAATATTAGATCACGAACTTGTTGAGCATTTTATCCCACGAGGTGATTGAGAGGTCCGGTCGATTGTTGAGCCATCGAGACGCATTCCCCGCAAGAGAGTAAGGTAATAGTCTCAACTTCAAAGCGTCCACGGGAACCCCATTTATCTTCAAACCTCCCGCAAGCTCTATGAACCTCTGGACATGCTCCCTTGTGGGCTCATTGCTAAGCCTATGAAATAGTGCATTGTTCTAGATCATGGTGACGAGGGCGGGCTTGATCTCGAAATTGTTGACGTCCACGGGTGGATGTCGAATAGTAGGTTGAATATCCGCCGCCCGTGGAGCCATATAGTTGCCAATGATCCTCGGTTGATGAGAGTTGATGTTGATTCATGAATCATGATTGTTGACCCTTTGAACTTAATCAAGATTCACACACACAAAAGCAAAAAGTAAAGGCTAGATTAACACCAAATAATCTTATAAAAATAACGGACCATTCAGTCCCCGAAAAAGGCGCCAAAATCTTGACTCGTACCGAATATCACCATAAAACTCCCAATTAAGGCCCAAGTATAAACCTTAATTGGGTTCAATATAGGGCAAGTATGTTTAAATATCAACCTGGGTCGATCCATGTATCCCTACTTCGATTGTTTGAAACATTATCTAGCAATTAGTTGTTTGTTGAAAACTACGATCTACAATTAAAACGATTGTAAATGTAATTAGTTTTGACTCTAAATAAGAAGGATTCACCCGGGTATAGCTCCCCCTATCTAGCTACCATGACTTGTCAGAATGAATGAAAACGTGTGGTGGAGGTGATTGTGAACTGTAAGGGAATTGCAACTAGTGATGGAACATCTCTCTCTCTCTCTGTCTCTAGGACAAACTAGGAATTCGGAATAAGCTACCAAGGTAGCTCTCTTGGCCTAATCGACTAAGGACGGTATAACCTTCTCTCTCGAATCGGAGTTCAGACGGCCAAAGCACAACCAACCTAGGTGCTAATACGAACAAGGAGGGTTGCCCTACATTAGTCTAGATAGGAGACAAGATTTTCCTAGAAAACCTAGCTTTACAAGCATCTTTCACAAAAAGGGGTGTTTTCACTCTACCCAGGTTAGAATGAAATAGATTGATAGCCAAACACACAACACAATCTTCCATAAAAATACCTCCAAATTCATATTAAAACACACCCACACATAAACAATCATTCCATACAATCAATCACATGGTAGAAGTTAGAGTTCATAAACACCCAAGTGAAAAGGGACACTACTCCATGCTAGGAGAGGGAAAAACATAAGGAGAAGGGAAAGAAACCATCATGGAGATGGTTGAGTCCTTCCTTGTGTAGTAAAGATCTTCCTTTGGGGAAGAATTTCCCAAATCCTTGCCTTGGAGCCTCTTCTTCCTTCTTGCTCGTCACTTTCTCTCTCTAGAATGTTGAAGAAGAAGGATTTCTCACTCAAGGTCTCCTCCCCCTTTTTTTCTTCAGCTCAGTCCTCCTTTTATACCCAGGTCGCGCTCAATTCACGATCTCAGTTCACGACCGTGAACATTCCTTCGAGACCGTGATGTCGAGCTAATCTGCTCCGTTTCATTTAGTTTGTTCACGGGATAAAATGTGTACAATTGGACCCAAATAAGTATTTATGGAGGTTTCTCAAATTTGTAGTCATAAAAAATTGAAATAATTATTTTCTAAAAAATGATATCACTTTGATATATTTTGAATGAAAAACATATTTAGCGAGATGTTAATGAAAATATATTAGGCTGGTACAAAAAAAATACCAAAGTGTATAATATCCACGATCACAATTTTTTTAGCCAAAATGAATCAAAACATATATTATTTTATAGACTAAAATCAATTCATTATTTTTAAATGTATTAAAAATTCATTTAGATTTCAATCATTTGTTCAATAAAATGATTCGACGTTGTTTTTTTATAAATTTTGCATAATTTTGAGGTTATATTCCAAATCTGACTTACGATTGTCAATCTTCAGGCACTAGGAGCTAAAGAAATATGTCAAAAAATTAAAAGAAATAAACCAGAATTATATTAGAGAAAAATTGAATGGAACTTTTTTTTTTTATGAATCAGCGGGTTCTTTATTCATCAAAAAAGAGCTTTTGCTAGCAACACCCTTGCTAGCTAGGGAGTATCACCATACAACGACACAAACAACAATGAAAACAATCGAAAACAAAAACCTATCTCTGTGACAGATTAAGCTAGTGATTCCAAAACTAGTTCACCCTATCTCTCCCAAGTACATAGACAATCTCAGCTTTCATACCAGAAATCAGTTCTTGTGAGCCCCTCACCTTATCACCATACAGTCGGCGGCATCTTTCTCTCCAGGTATGACTGATCCATGTTTGCCATATAAACCTCCATGTTTCGGCTTCTTCTACCTGCTTGTTATACTTCTCCAGCAGCCATGAAACCATGGCCTCCCATGTTTGGAACTGGGGAACCTGCATAGGACCTGTAAACAATGCATCAAGAATCTGCCTAGCAAAGGGGCAGAGAACAAAAAGATGCTGTCTATTCTCAACTCCTCCTCCACAAAGAACACAACTCATCGATTCCTGGAAGCTCCATTTTTGCATTTTATCTTTGGTTTGAACACTGCCTCTGATTACCAGCCAAGCAATCAGTCGATTACTTGGTATAGCCACACCCTTCCAGATTAATTTCCACCAAATAACCCTCTGCTGAGCAGGTCTAACAAGCTGCCAGACTCGTTTAATAGAGAATCGAGGCATTGGTAACCCATCAAGTAATAAAACACCATCCCTGTTTGAGATGAAAGGAGATATTATGCTTCTGAGCTTCAGAATTTTGCACCAATTCCAGGATCCTGAAGTGCAGTTATAGGACCACAAACATCTCCCTTTTAGTTTTTATTTGGTGATCCATGCCACCCACAAAGATCCCTCTTGAAGTAAAATCTGCCAAATATGTCTTGTAGCACAGGCCTGATTCCAGCTATTCATGTCCCTAAAACCAAGGCCTCCTTCCCTTTTAGGATAGGTAATCTTCTTCCATGGAACATTAGCTCTAAACTTCACCCCTCTTTCCACCCCCATATGAAGTTACTGCACAATCTCTCTACCTCCTTAATCACAACTTTAGGTAAAAGGAAGACAGACATCCAGAATTGATTCAAACTGCATGAATGGTCCAACGTTTAGCAAATGCTTATATAGAAAACTAAATTCCCATAACCATCATAATATAAATTGAGATAAGATAATTATATATATCAGCATTATAAAAAAAATCATGCAATAGTAATATGCATTTGATATTTACTGGTATGTATTTGGTAATTGCTAATGTGCATTCAAGCAATATTGGTATAATGGTATGTATTTGATGAATACTAATATGCATTTGTTGGAAATTGGTATGCATGTAATAGTTATTAATGTAAATTTGATCATCCGTTATAAATATATAGTAATAACAAAAATATAATAAGAAGTTGTTGGTTCTAAAGAGAGAAAATATTCCTTTCTCAAATTGTGAATGATTCTCATCCAAAAAAACAAACAAATACCACTAGGTTTGTTCCCAACCATTCCTCAACTTATTTTTACTCTAACTAATAATTTCAAATAATAATTAATTTATAATCATATACCGGCTCTATTGATAATGTGAAAAAAATTATTAATATAATTAATGGAGTTTATCTTATAAGTTTTGCAATTAATATCATCAAATAAATGTTATCTTACTGTTAGAAATTTTACACTATAATAATATAAGTCTTGCAGGTTGTGTATTCGAATCCTAATAATGATTATTCATGTGTTTGTTTATTTTTAATCGATGTTGATTTTTTTTAATAGTTAATAAAAAGTAACATGAAAAATTAAGGCTAACGTAGATGTTTGAGAATTTAAAAAGTTTTAATATGATAGAAGTCTAATTTGAGAAAGTGATAATGATGATTTGTTGGTGGGGACGAAGAAGGCCGGCAGACTTGGCTACATACCAACCACAAGACTCATGATATATGTAAACCTTGTGACCAATGACCATTGTGATTTGTGAGTTATGAGTTGTGACACTAAGTTCAACTATGTATGATAATACAAAAATAATCCAAAGGTCCAAATCTTCCCCTCGTTAAACATGTGACACTTTGGGATATACAATACTGTCCAAGTTAATGGAGTTGTAACTGAATAACTGATCTATCATAGTGCTGAATGTGGATTAAATTTAATTAAACCCCCACAATTCATGTTATATTTTACTGCCTGTCAATTCCCTGCCGCTCGGGAATATACCCAAGTCCCAACTGAAACTTGAGGTTGGGTTTGTAGGATTGATGACACAAATATTGTTTTTTTTTTAATTTACCACTAATATTGCAAATTAAAAAGTATTGACACAGATATTGTGTTTTTTAGTAAGGTTTGGGGCAGGACCACCTGAGACTCAGGCGGGGCTGATGTTTTACCCAGTTCTGGGCGCTGGCGCACCAGTCTCACGCGGCCCGCCTCATTCATTTTTTTGACTCAGTCCTAGGCGCTGGCGCCCGAGTCTCCAGCGGCAGCGCCCCATCCTTTTTTTTTTAAAATACCGACCTCGGGCCCCTCCCACCTTATCTCCTCTTCTTCTTCCTTCCTCTTCTTCACTCCTCCACACCACACACACAACCCCCCCCCCCCCAACCCCGAACCAGAGAGAACCCTCCCTACCAGCCTCCCGCCGCAACCGCTGCAGCCCAAGACTGAGGCGCCGCCGCCGCAGAGTCGGGCGCCGCCACCTTTGACTGAAGCGTCGCCGCCCTTGACTGAAGCGCCACCGCCCCAGATGTCCTCCGACGAAGAACCAGTCGCCGCCGGCAGAGGCAGAGGGAGAGGCCGGCGAGGTCGTGGTGGAGTCGGCGGTCGTTTGCGCGGTGAGACTCTCGGCAGCTGCTTGATTTTTTTTTAATGTTTTGTGTTTTTTTTAATGTTTTGTTGCTTTGTTTTTGCAGTTCCAAGGCTTATGGATCCTTATTCGATGAGATTACCGCCGACGACTGTTGATCCAAGTCCGGTCGATCCGACACTTCTTTGGGGACATGGCCAACATCGTATCGACTCTGTTTGGACAAACGAGGTAAGTATTTGATAATTATTCATGTAAAGTTAATTAGCTAATTAGATTATTTTAGGTTGTGAACTGAACTGTTAGGTGAAATTAGTATAATTTGAAATTAGTATAATTTGAAATTAGAATTATTACGAATGAAAATGAATTACTATAAGTTTTGTGCACTATAGGCTGGTGATCGATCTTACCATGTTCGAGGTACGACCATTTTAGTACCTTACCATGAGCTTTATCGGCCATATCTCGAAGAGGCAGGCTTGTTAAGTGTCGTGCCCCTAGTCCCTATGAACCCCGATGCGAGTTTGATTAATGCGCTCGTAGAGCGGTGGCGTCCCGAGACGTCGACCTTCCATCTACCGTGTGGTGAGATCACGATCACGTTAGAGGACGTTGTTACACTGTCCGGTCTGGCGATCGACGGTGATGCCGTCGTAGTTGATATACCGGATGAGGAGTGGTCGGCGATCTGTTTGAGACTGTTAGGACGGGTTCCGGCTGATCTTGTAGGCGGTGTCGCTGTTGTTAGGATTGTTTGGCTGAGGGTTGAATTCAATCATCTGCCGGGGAATGCATCCCAGTAGGTTATAGAGCAGTTTGCACGAGCTTATGCTCTATCTCTGCTTGGAGGTGTACTTTTCTCGGATCGGTCTGGAGGTACGGTGCACCTACAGTACCTACTTCTGATTGAGGATTGGGAGAGAGCTGGACGGTTCGCCTAGGGAGTTGCTGTTTTATCCTACCTATACCGTGAGATGGGTAGGTCGACTTTGCACATTACGCATACCGGCACTTCTCTTAGCGGTGACCTTGGTGGATGGGTCGCCCTACTGCAGTTTTGGGCGTGGGAGCGATTCCCACATCTAGCACCTCGAGATTCCGAGACGAGGGCACAGGCCACCGAGGATGCATCCCCACGTGGTCTTCGATGGCTTTCGGCCAACAGTCGTCAATATGGTGACCAGCTATTCCAGTACAAGCTGTGGTTTGACGCGAAGGACACCGTGGTGGTTAGTATATAACATTTCATTTTATAGAATAGTTTTCATTTGTTTTATTTTTTTAGATTTAGGGATAATAACGTTAATTTTTTTTTAATGTAGTGGCAACCTTACCTTGAGAGAGCACTTCATCTCAGAGGTAGTGTGATACAGTCTGAGACATTTCGAGCAGTAGTGCCACTTATCTGCTTTTCATCGGTGATGTGGCATCATCCAGACCGCGTGCTCCGGCAGTTTGGCATGAGGCAGCATGAGCCTCATCCGCCACATCCTGAGGCTGAGGTTAGGTTTTTTCTTCGCCAGGCTACTCGTGGGCCATCGCGTGGGCAGCAGTTGGTACACACCTCCAGAGAGTCGATTGCTTTCTGGAACCGTCGACACGAGTTTGTAGCGACGGCTCCATACATTGATGAGGAGTTAGCCTACCACTCGGAGCATATGGAGTGGTATAGAGATGTCACCAGACGTTCCGGCACACGGAGAGGAGCTGCAGCAGAGGCATTGGTTAGTTATTTGATTTGTTTGCTTAATTTGTTGTTAACTGTGTGAAATATCTGACATTTTGACGGCCTCAGATATCATGTCGACATCAAAATGGCGATGATCCGTCGGTTGAGTCGTACTGCTAGAAGAATGCACCAACTCAACCTTTCTCACAGTCCATTCGCCCCCAACATCTCGACATCCAAACCGCACCATCCAAGGACAATTGTCATCCTTGTGCCTCAAGCATCTGACCTTCCATATTGAAGGTGAAGACTCCACCATGCCATATTGAAAGTTGCATTGTAGTGCGTGGTGTTTAATCGCCATCTGTGCAGCTTGTTTCGAGTGAAATATCTGCCCCTTGTAGAATTCTCCTTCAAAAATATCAACAATAGGCATTGGAATTACGCCATATGATGACAGCTTGAATGTGCTTTGGAGGATAATTAAGCTGCTCTCCTTCCTCCTCCTCCTCCTCCTCCTCATCTTCCTCCTCTCCGTCATCACCGTCATCATAGTCATGATCGAATGGCACGCTCCATGTATCATCTTCTTCCTCTCCACCCTGATCCTCACTAAGCTCAACATGTATCTCAGCACCCAAACAATAAGGATTTTGTGCCATAAAATTCCAAAGCACATTCAAGCTGTCATCATCCACAATAGGTATCGCATAATGAAATAAAACATCATTCTGCCATTCTGGAAGACGGTAAGTGAAACCTGTGATCACATCACTATCTTTTACTGTTTCGTCTCTACGCCGTATTCTCGGAATTAGATTCTCACAAAGTTTTTGATATGTGACTCTGGATGGAACCGTCAACTGAAAACTACTACCACCAACGAATTTGACGCCCAAATTATCCTCTACTTTCTCCGATTTCCACCGAACAACTAGTTCAAATCTTCTAAAATCACTACAAAAAAAACAAACTCACTAATTAAAACTAAACACAATCATAATAGCATTTGAATAATATAATTACAAAATAAATGTGTCTCTTACCTATTAGCCATTTTTGCAGCAGCAACCAGAGCTCTCTCCTCTATTTTGGACGATTTTTTTTGTGATGTGAATCTGAAACGAAATTGTCTGGGTTTTATAAGGTGGGTGGCCAGCAATAAGCCAACGGTGCCACCTCAGTCTCGGGCGCCACCGCCTGGGATGATTTCCCACCTACTCGCCTAGGTCTCAGGTGGTGCCGCCTGAGTCTTGAGTGCCGCCGCTGCCAACTAAATAAAACGGTCCAAAAACCAAGCTAAAGCGGCAGCGCCTGAGTCTCAGGTGGCCTCGCCGATTCTTATCTCTAAAACACAATATCTGTGTCAATACTTTTTAATTGGCCATATTAGTGGTAAATTAAAAAAAAACAATATTTGTGTCATTAACCAGGGTTTGTACGTCTATTTATGGAGCTATCTCATAGAAGGAGCCATAAATTCGGATAACAAATATAAAAATCAACCTATATGATCCTTATAAAAAAGCAATTCATTCCTAAAAACAGCTAATAAAAAATGTTTACATAAACAAACAAAAAAACACAATATGTTTACTTATTATGAGAGCACAAGATAATCAGACAGATGCACAAGATAATCAATTTGGAGCTGTTCTCGACGAAGTTTGTGATTTGCTGGCAGATAATATTGGTTTTAATGTACGATTTGTAGGTTGGAATAGCAATAGGGTAACCCACTTGGTAGCTCGAAAGACTCTTTCTTTGTATCCAACCACATGTCGCTCTTTTGATTTCTGTTCACGGTTGTATACCAGATTGTACTTTGCTCGATCTCTTATTAATCAATATAAGATTATCTTTTGTCAAAAAAATATGTTTACTTATTATGTCAGTTGAGTAAAACTCCGTTCATTGTTTGTATTGTTAAGTAAGTTTCTTTCAAAGTTTGTCACTTGCAAACATTCATGAACTGGTTTTCTATTCTATTTTAAAGTTTGTTATTGACTAAAAATGTTCTTTTTATATTTGCAATTGTAACCGATAGAATTAAAACTAGTTTCAAAATAAATAGACTAACATATGTGAGTGGTCCCCTTTTATCTCCACCATCAACCGAAAGTTACAAATATACTAAATGGTGTAAGTATCACAAGAAATTAAGTTGCAGCTCATCGGTAATTAAAAGGGGAGTTGATAATTCCCCCAAAGAAAATCAGGGTGTCAAGTTTCCTCTAGACTGAAGGCATTACCGCACTCAACTAAATCATAACAAAAAACACTACCAGATAACCTGTAGACCGAAAAAATAACTACTAAACCGAAAAAATCCATTAAAAGATTACCAATAGACCATATTACCTCTATAACGAAAACATTAGCACTAAACTGAAAAGATTTCCACTAGACCCAAAATTACCACTAGACCAAATCATAATAAAAAACATGAACACCAAACTAAAAAAACATTAAAAGATTACTAGTCGACCATATTACCACACCACCAAAAAATCATTACAAGATTATTAGTCGACAAGATTATCACCACCGAATAGATTAAAAAAAATACTTTGCTACGGTGACATGCATGTTACCGTAACTTGCACTTTTAGGTCGACCTTATCTAGGATTAGGTCGACGTAATCTGCACTTTTATATCGACCTTATATAGGATTAGGTCAACCTAATATGACGTTTCAGTTTTGTGAGGTTCAACGACGCGGTTGACCTTTTATAGCAAATGGTCGACCTCTTTGGGAAGCGATGTGGGTGGTTTTTTTGCTCATACAAATTATGTTTCAAACCAACAGAATCAGTCATAAATAATAATAACAAGGACTCATAACTTCATAACATAACATAACAACTAAACAAACTAACAAGAAATACAATAAAACACAAATCATAATTGTTCACACATAATTAAAATCTATAACCACATAATATCAATCCACAATCATTTTTAACACTTAACCATAAAACACACTATCTAAAATCATCGAGTTCTACTCCTATCCCCTCTCTCCCTCATCCACATTTTCTTCATTGGTGTTGCTAGCATTATGGTAGTCAGAAGTTACGGTGACATGCATGTATCTTCCACTGAAAGATCGAAAATCATCTCGCATCTCATTCACGGTCACCTGCGGTGTGCTCATCTGGGTGGTAATTTTCCCCATGTAGTCGTACATGCCAGTCAACTGGGTGGAAATCTGACCCTTGTAGTCGTACATGTCATCCATGCGCTTCCCAAGAGGTCGACCATTTGCTATAAAAGATCAACCGCGTCATTGAACCTCACAAAACTGAAATGGCATATTAGGTCGACCTAATCCTATATAAGGTCGACCTAAAAGTGCAAGTTATGGTGACATGCATGTCACCATAGCCATACCCTAAAAAAAATTACTACTAGAAAGAAAAGCTCACCACTAGACCATATCTAAGTTTGGGGAGCGACCAAATCAAGGGAGCAGCGGTAGTGGTAGAGGTGTGTCGGTGATAGTGGTGGCGTGCGTGCTACGAGCGACGAGGGAAGAAGACATAGGGAAGGTTTAATTTTGGTAAATAGAGATGAGGAAGTCGCGTTCGAGAACTGGCGTTGGGTTCCCTTCGACGACAACGAGGAACTAGAATGCGGTGAGGAAGTCAAAGATGAGGACGAAGACTAAAGTTCTTTTCGGGAGGGTGACAAAGAGGGAGAGGAAATGAGATGTCTTCTTAATCACATGTGATATATTTTTCTCATTTCAAAGATGCCTCTAATGCAATCTTTGTCATTGATTCAAAAATAGGAAGAAAGAGAAAGAAATGGAGAAAAGATACATGGATTGGCTTGTTGCAAATCCGTGAAGGGGTTTGCACGATAAGTCAGCAACTCGTTCCTGACACCAGGGTCGGACCCAAGTGGTGATGAGGTGTGTCGGCCTTCACATTCCCGTCTGATTTTTTTTTTTTTTTTAGAGATCAATGTTTCGTCAATACAAAAAATTAAAATTTGAATCCTCCAACACAACTCGTTCCTGACACCAAGGGCGGACCCAAGTGGCTATAAGAAATTTATTGTAAAAATTTCTAAATACTCATCGACCGACACACATGTTCAAAAATCTTGCATCCCTCACTATCTGACAGCCCTAATATGAATTGGCTCCGCCTATCAACTAGTTACATGTTCCCTTTCGTGATCACTATTTAATGTTCCAGAAATATTTGACATGTCTCCACTTATAATTGAGCGTAGTGTATTTCTTTCTTTCCTTCATTCTTTTTTTTTTTTTCTTTCTTTTTTTCTTCTGTCAAGTTCTTGTAGACTAATTGTTTTGATGTGAGATCTTATATGTTTCCAGAAGGTTTGCTGATCAACTTTGAGATTATGTGTTTGAATTTGTCTGATTCTTCACTTGTAATAATTTGACCTCTTCGTTATATAGATTAGTTTTTTTTTTTTTTTGATAAATTCGTTATATAGATTAGTTAGTTTACTTACGATAAAAAAAAATATTAATTTGCATAGGATTATATGTATAATTTTCCTCTCTACTTTGCATTATTCTCAAATATGCCTCACTATTATGATTTACATCAAACTTACCCTTTTACTATCGAACAATTCTCAAACCTGCCATTCCATCACTTTTGTCCATCCCAAGCCGTTAAATACAATCAAATCAGGGTTTGACTAATGTCGAATACCGATTTTACCCCTAAGTATTTACTAAACTAAACTCCCTTTCTCGTGAACGCGAACATGGTCCAAAGTGAACGGTGTCGATCGGCAACAATAGTTCAAGTGATTGACGCGGCTTCACTGTAGTTGCGTCTTCGCGACGATTGAGTATTCATATCATTGCGACAACAAACAAGAATCGGCGCGGCGGGGGACTTAAATTCAACTAGATAAATAATAATTTCTTGAAGGCCAAGACCTTTCCTCAAAATTCAATTCATCCCTGCTGCCGCTCGCTGTGTACGCCTTCAATATGGGTTGTTCTTTTATTTAGGTTAATGGCGTCGGCAAAGCGTTTCAGCCGGCCGAGTTTAGAAGAAGTGGTCGGTCGGGAATTTGGGAGGGGTAGGATTGGGGATTTTCGTTCGGCAGAGTTGAATGGGGTCGAGGTAAAATTGACTTTCACCGTTCAAGTTTGCGACATCATAATGGCCACACCGTGGTTCAGCCGAATCTAATGGAGTTGGGATGGAAAACTTAACCGGAGGATAAGTTTGAGAACTATTTGTTTGATAATAAAAGGGCACATTTGAGTTAAATCATAGTAGATGGCATGTTTGAGAAAAATATCAAAGTAGATCGAGGGACAAATTATATCTATAACCTATATGCATATATCTCATGTGTCATAATAAAAGTTAGCATATAATAACCGCATTTATTCGCATCTATTAATTGTATTTCAATGTATTTGTGATGGATCAAAATCATCCATTTATTATTTTTATTAAATTAATCTCGTGATTTGAATTTAAAAGAATTAAGATTTCGAACATACTCATTAGAACTTAGAGGATATAATATAATATCATGTCTTAAATTCTAATTAATTCATGTTTCATCCCTCTAACTACATCAAGCACATCCAGTTATTAAAATATGTTCTCCATCTTTGAAATTGTGGGTTAACTAGTAGTTTTTCAAAACTTATCGACATCATACCTATTGAGATTTAAACCATAATAAGCATTCCAAAGTATTTATCCTACTTCTGGCAAAAATGTTGCCCTATGCTATGTATGTCTTTTTTCACCTATCCATCAATGGACAACTCCAAAACATTAATTTCAACCACAAGTTGTTTATACATGCATTTCACATAATGTTAAATTCAATTTTGTGCGTTTGCGATAGTGATGTAGATTCACAGCCTTCTAGCTTTATCTTGAGAGGTTTTCATAGAGCACTTTTATTAAGAGGCTAATTTTGTAGATAAGTGTCTAGCTAATCTCTTTGGAGTACTCTCTATCGGTTGGAGATGTTCAATTTTGTGAGTTTGCGATAGTGATGGAGAATTGGAGATTTACTGCCTTCCAGCTTTATCTTGGGAGGTCTTCATATAGCACATTTACTAAGAGGCTAATTTTCGAGATGACTATCTAGTTTCTATGGAGTTCTTCTGTTAATTGGAGATGTTAAGCGTGTTATTAATGCATAAAGGTTGGGACGATGTTAAAGCGTTCGGTTTTCCGAGAATTTGTTAAAAAAAATTGTGACTTATATTCATTTCCTAATTATTTCTTGATAACCACCTCTTATGTATAAAAAAAAACTACAAATCTTACTTAAGCATCAAAATCCTATACCATTTCAATGCTATCTAGAAGAAATATACAACTTGAAAAATACCACACCAAAGAATCTTCCAATTTAGTGCCCACATATGATATGGCTATGAAGGATCTAACCAAAGTCCAAAAGTAATGTCAAAATTGGCTGCTTAACCTATGTGCTGTCTTGGCGCCATCCGCATATCTCCCTCTATATAAATCCACCCACTTCACAGATAAACACTACACTATCCAAAACCAAACAAAGAAGAAGAAGAAGAATAATTCTCCATTAAAATGATGAAGCTTGAAATGAAAACAATCTCCAAACAAACCATTAAACCATCTTCCCCAACTCCTCCCCATCTCAAAACCTTCCACCTCTCCCTCCTTGACCAACTCCTCCCTCCCCCTTATGCTCCACTCATCCTCTTCTACCCAAACTCCCAAGACGGCGTCGTTTCGAGCTCCCGGCTCGACGCCCTCAAATCCTCCTTGTCTGAAACCCTGACCCGGTTCTACCCGTTGGCCGGAACCCTCTCTTCGGACGATCTCGCCATCGACTGCAATGATCGAGGAGCCAATTTGGTGGAGGCCCGGGCGAATTGCACCATGACATGGTTCCTCACCCACCCGGATCTTCTATCGCTACCGAAGCTCCTCCCGGTCGACCCGGTCGGGCCGATCGTCGAACCGAGACACGTGTCAAATGTTCAGGTTACGGAGTTCACCTGCGGCGGGATTGCCATCGGGATTTGCATCTCCCACAAGATCCTCGACGGCGTTGCGCTCGGAACTTTCCTCAAGGCGTGGACCACAACGGCTGCCGGCTGTGAAGAGGAGAAAGAAACGAATAGCGCGCTGAATCCCAATTTCATCGCCGGGACTCTGTTTCCGGCGGGAGGCTCCCACTGGCTCCGGAACGCTTCGATGCCGATGTGGGGATCGTTCTTCAAGACGGGGAAATGCGTGACACGGAGAATCGTCTTCGATTCGTCGGCGATCCGGTCTCTCAAGTCCCGACTAATCTCTCCGACGGGGACTCGGGTCGAGATCGTTTCCGCCCTTCTCTGGAAATCGATCATGGAGGCTTCCGAAAGGGTAACCGGAACCCAGAAACCGTCCCTTCTTACCCACCTAGTCAACCTCCGGAAGCGGGTCGAGCCACCGCTCTCGGAAAATTCCCTCGGGAACCTCCTCTGGATCTCGTCGGCGAAACACGACCCGAAAACAGAGCATCCATCCAAGCCCTCGGATCTTGGTGAATTGGCCGGGAAAGTGAGGGAGTCAATTTCCAAAATTGACGATGGGTTCGTGGGGAAGCTGAGGGGGGCGGAGAGGGAGTCGGCGATGGCGGAGACGTTTGATGAGATTGTGGAGATGAAGATGAAAAAGGAGGGAGCGGATTTTGTGGGGTTTTCGAGCTGGTGCAGGATGGGGTTTTACGGGTCGGATTTTGGGTGGGGCAAGCCGGCTTGGGTGAGCAGCTACGGGGTGGGAGGTTCGGTGTTCATGAATCTGGTGATTCTGGCGGATACGCCGTGTGGAGAAGGGGTCGAGGCGTGGGTGACGATGGACGAGGATGAGATGGCGGCGGTAGCGGGGAATGAAGAGATGGCGGAATTCGCTAAGTTTGATCCCAGTCCATTGGCATTTGATTAATGATTAGTGTTATAAAAATTACTTCGAGAAGTTGAAATGCAGCAAATGTAGGGTAAGATCTTGGGGGTAATTGTCAGACTGTGTGTTCGCTGTAGAATGTAGATAATAATGTAAAGAAGTTTTCAGAGTTTTCGGGTCGGACCACGGGTTGGTTTGCGGGCTGGGTAGGTTAGGTTAACATGGCGGGCAAAAGTGATGTTGCAGGTCGGCTAGTGAGCTTTTAGGGTTAAATTAAGCTTATTAGTACATTCTGTTTGCCACATCATCATTAACGAACCTTGTTAATGACTTTTGACGAAGTCTAATGACCAGTGAGCAAAGTTGGACTGTGTAACTAATTTGAATGACTAAGAATGAAATTAATTAATTTTAGTTACAAACGTTAACTTTTATAGTAATTCTAGTGAGTAAATTTTCAATTTACCTGTTTTTGAAGCGTCATTCCTAGGGTTTCCTACCTTGGGCTTTGATCCATTGTTTGGTTCGGGTTTCATGTCGTGGCCTTGGTCCAAAAGATGGGCCAAACATTAGGAGGTAGAGGTTTTGGTCAATACTATGGTGCGGCTATAAAAAGTGCGGCCCCGATGCCGCAGTTTCCTATTGGTCCACGTGTTATATGATGTGGCATTTGCTGTTTTGATTAAACCCCAATCCAAATCTGTGGCCCATGAAAACTTGCCCAAACCGGAGCAGTCACCCAACTGAATGTCAAAAGCATTTCCGTTAATTCTTGTGGTAAAACGTTTTGTTACTTTATAGTTTAACTAGCTTATTACCCGGCCCGTTGGCCGGATTACTGTATCTTACCCACTTGTGGAATGGGAGAGAAAGCAAGTGAGAGTGAAGGGATTGGGATTCCACTTGATTAGGACCGGCCCACTAATCCGATTCTTCCCGACCCGCCCCAACCTAAAGGGTCAGAAAGAGCCAATAAGAAAATACGAACGGAGAGAATTAGTAATATATCTTGACTCTTCAGAAGTGGGTCAAACAAGATAAAGGTTGGGTGAGGGCAATTTTTAGCGCTAAACAGAGTTCTGGGTTGAATAACTTTACTTAGGCCTAGAAATTGGTGCTGATGCAGACTGCAGTTTTTATCATACCATCATCAATCATCATTGAATTAGTCCTGGGCATCCCTCCCCGTTGTCGGTCTGAATTTTAATGATGGCTTCATTCCTTGCACCAGCCATATCAGCGAGTTGTCATCTCGAGCATGATTTGCCTATGTACAAATGATACAATTAGAGTATGAAACTGAATTCAAAGAAAAGGAAAAGAGAATTCTATCACATGCCAATAAATACACACATAATAGTTGAAGCTAAGTGAAAGTCATTACTCGCACATCAATTCTCAAAAATTACAGACTAAACAATGGCTAGAATGGCACTGAAACTACCAAGAATCATGGACGAAACAACTTGTCAAATTAAATAATCCTTATACTGAAACTACCTTCTAACTTGAAATAAGACATGATCACAGTTCATAGCACTCTTATCACTATGAATTGGTTGCAGCTCGTCCTTATCACTACCTCCCAAGCTCAATTCAAACAGAATAGACACAGTTATGTAAGATAACCATATCCTTACTGATCATAATTCCTTTCTTCACTCCATTTTTGTCGGAGAAAAGAGTTATCCCCCTCTCATGCATTTCCCTTTCCCCCTCTCTTCTCCCTCTTCTTCACAAACTGATCCCTAAACCAGCAACAACAACACAAAATAGCCTTCGCCTCTGCCATCTCCATCTACTGAACGCGTTGGTGGCAAGACAGGACTGCAGAAGCAAAATTTTCTAAAATCAAACTAAATTTTTTGAAGGAGACTCAACCACGAAAAAAGAGTAAAGCAACAATGCTAATAGTTCAGATGGTTGGTTTTGATGTTATACGTTGCTTTTGTTATGGTCTCCAGTGTATCAACTGCAACAGAGATGTTTCCTCCAATCATCTTTAGTGCACGATTTAGAAGTAAGTCCTCTTGTTTGTGTCAAACGGAAACATTCATGGGTTTCTTAACTCCCCTGTTAGTGTAAATGCATCAGCAGCAAAGAAGTTTGACAACACAGCAAGCACCCAGGCAAAATGATACAATGCAGTAGGTGATATGTGTCTCGAAGGTTTTGAGTTACTAAAGTTCATGTTAAAAATAAACATGAATTAAAATGGATTATTCTATTAAGCAAACATCCCCTCTAATCATACAAAGATCAGATATCTAATTCACAAACAATTAAGCCATAAAAAATCATCACACATCCACCACCTTTGATTGCCTATATTTGGTTTTTCGCAAAGTTGTGAACTCTTAAGGGTAAAGTTCATGGGTAGTCTGTTTCATAACTCTAGAGAGCACAGTAAGCAGCCACCAACCAGACACAGTGCGGTAGGCGAATATGATTCTCAATTCACAATTTCTCACCACCGGAAGTAAGAACAGAACATAATAAGCGTAGCGTTCATGGGTGGTCTGTTTCATAGCACTACTACACAATTTGTTAAAAAAGAAGGAAAGGTATTTAGCATCACGGCGGAACAACTTTTACAGGCCAACAACGACAACATGCTGTAACCACCAGAACTGGTATCACAACTCATAGGGAAAGTCAAAAGATTTACTCTTAAATTAAGTAGTTACAACATCGAGCAATCGTCAAGCACATACACCATCACAAAAGTCACAGAACCTGATTCACAAAGCATTCAAACATTTGAGGACATTTCTGCAAAGATACAACTTATATGTCTTTTTTCCAAGCCATTTCCATCAACATGCTAATAAATTTGCAATGCATAAAACAAATGGGCCAAAACTTGAAATTCAACCTGTTTGACCGACCCATGCCAAATTCTAATTATTCTTTACTTTTAAACTTTCTATTTGAAAATAAAAAAATAGTGAAAGAAAAAAGACGACTACAATTCGCCATTTGCACATCACTTATTCGGGAATAAAACCATATAAATTCAAAAGGAACTGAAAATGTTGAGGATCGTTTTAATGTTTAAAATAACCAAATAGATTTTTATGTTTAGTTTTTTACTAACAAATACCAAACGATTCCCTATAATATACACTATAATTTGATCATTATGATGTCAAATAATTATAAAATATATATTTGAAATGATAAAAATTGGACTAATTGGGTTGGTTGAGGTTGAACCATTGAATAACTTTAAAATACATTATATTTTAGCCACTAAGATATAAAATAATAGCATAATATATATTATGCCAGAGAAAATAGCGTGTTTTAGAATGGCAAACCCATGATGTTCATTTGTTTTACTTGATGACCAAATCCCATGTAGATCAGGCCCATTCAACTCTTTTATTTTATGGTTAGCGGTTAGCCCATTAGATACCATGCATTAGTCTATTGTTAAATTTTTTATTTTTAACAATAAAAATGAGTATTATTTTTGCCTTTTCATATATATTTTATCACCACGGATAAATAAAAGGGTATAAAGAAAAAAATTGACACTCCTGGACTCGTTTAAATCCGCATGTGTACGGTAAGTTGGCCCGTTCCATAGAGGAAAGAGAAAAAAATTGACACTCCCTATTTTACCCTTCCTACAAACGCTCATGGAACAGGGAATTTGAAATGGGGGAAGAGTTTTTTCCACCCTGCTATTATATGTTTTTAATTTAAAAGGATACAACAAATGTACATAGTGTGATTGATTATGATCTTTGCCTTTCTTTAAAATGGTCATGGTTCGAATCCCAGTACATACTTTTTTAATGAATAAAAAAAAGTAATTGTGAAAACCAAAATGTCCTTCCTACTTTCACTCTCGTTGCAGGAAATTTGAAATGGGGCTCCCGTTTTTCCTTTCGGTGCATTATATTATGTGTAGATTCCTCGGTCGGATTTGCTTTTTATTTTCAATTAATTTATTTAGACAATCAATTAAGAATTATTAACTATTAATTTCATTTGTTTTTGTACAGAAACTGGAAAAATGGAAAACGAGACTCGAGCAGTCGAGCACCTCGTCATCTTCCTCGCTCTCCATCTCCTACAGATTATCAAAAGCACAACCAACGACTTCACCATCGCGGATCCAATCTAATCTCTACCATACCCTGCACTAAACTCCTTCATCATTTTCCTCAGCCGACATTTATTCTGTAAAACAAAAATGATCGAATCCCTCTTTTCGACAGACCCTTTGTCTCCGTTGAACTCTCCGCCAGCCAAGTACCAGACGATCCCAAACAAAAGAAATGTTCCTGAAAAGTTCAACATAAGACCATCAGTCGGCGAACAGTTCAGTAGCTAAAAGATAAAGAGAAACAACCACAAACAGGTAATCAGGTAATGCATCCAACAATAATGCACCTAAATGACAATCAGCACGCCGCACTAGATAAATCTAAACCGCACTCCCAAATTAAAATAAGGACATGCTCTCCATTCGGCAACCTAGAAGCCCAGCAGAAAACATTTCTTCGTGAATACAAATCCAAGGACAGTACCAGACCCTTGCTATTGTTAAATGGTTCCATCACTCATTTAATAATTGTCCAACTGAGAAGGTCTTAATGAACTTCTCATAAGAAAGTCTAAGTTTGCATACCATAAAACATTCTGTCCTGGTAATAAGATGGCAAAGTCCCCAAACGACTTCCCAATAAAAGAATGGACAGACTGAAAACAAAGAACTCACTGGAAGGGATGAGAAAAGAGTTTCAATTAAGAAAACTGTTTCCATTGATAGAAAATAATGATCTCCACAAATGGAGTCTAATTTCTCAAGCATGAAAGGGTCAAACGTGTCATGATCACAATATGAGATTGTCTCTCGGCAGTGGTTCATGTAAATCAGGATATTACTACAGACTGTCAACAATATAACGCGCAAGCTATTGCAATAAACAGTCGATAAAGGCTAACCTGCCCAGTAAATCAGCCTGGGTTTCATCATCCGCTTCAAACGCTAGGTACGTAAATTGGCAAAACAATCCCAACATAGCTACTACAGAAAGCACCAAGGAGCCTCCAGCAAGTTAATACTTTATTAATAAACATATTAAAAGGTACATTCTTGTGAGCAGAGTTAAAGAACACAAGCAATCAACATCAAAATTGGAATTTGAGAAACAAAGCCCCATATTGAAACCCACGATGATGTTTGTGTCACAATGTTGGAAGTTGGAACCAATTGGAGAAAGAAGCAAACGTAAGCCTTGCATTACAATCACAGAATAACCGTCTCATTCTCAAAATTAAATTTTTGCTCCACTGTAACCCAGAGGCAAAGGAGAACCCTAAACATGAATTGAGCCCTACTATTAAGTGATCGACCCAGAGATGTTGAATTCGCCTGAACTTAATGTGATAACCAAAAAGGAAATAGAACCTTGTTCTGGGCAATACGACCCCATCAAGCCTACAAAACCAAACGAACAGACAGATCGTCACAGAATCAAAATTCAGACTGTGGACATCAATTGGGGAAAATCATGGGAAGAAGAGATATCGAGGACAGAGGCAGTGGAGGAATTTATCGGAGGTGAATCAGAGAGGTGGAATGGGAGATTGCATTGGCGGCGGAGAAGTTCGCCGGAAGTTCTTATTTCTTTCACACTCGGCCGGAGGGGAGAGCGCAAAAGACGACGATGGACTTCTGTTTGCGTTTTCCTTTTGTTCTTATTCCTGGAGAAAATTAAATGCATTGAAAATTGGAATTAAATAATGGGGAAAAAACTTGTAGAAGACGGAGATGTTTTTTTTTTTCCTTTTGTATGGGCAGGAGGAGGTTTGGGCCAGTTTTATGGCCAACGGGATTTGGATCCGGGTTTAACCAGCCACATCATAGTACACGTGGACCAATAGGAAAAAACGGCACCAATGCCGCACTTTTTATAGAGACACCAATGTCGCACTTTTTATAGCGGCACCATAGTATTGGCCATATGTTTTCCATCCCACATATCTAGTTGGCCAGCCAGAAGGCCCACGGGTAAAGATCAATTTCCTACCTTCTCTTTTGCATAATTGGCTTCTCCACGCACGCACGTAGATTAAATCTTTTTAGTAGAGATGGCAATCAAGCCCCAACTGCTAGCCAGCGACGGATCTAGAGCTGGGCCAACCCGGGCCACGGCCTAGCCCCCTCCGGATCTAGAGCTAGTATAGTGCTTATAAATTTTTCGATTTTAGATATTCGGCTCAGTGCTATTTAAAAATCGGCTTAGTGTTATTTGATAATAGTATTTTGTGTAACTAGGAAAATGGTCTAGAGGAACATATCCAAACCACTACACTAAATTTAGCGTAAAAATCTAGCCTGATTGATTTTCATTTGAAAAAAAACAATAAAATTTAAAAGTATAAAATGTAAAAGACTAAGTATAAAGTTTCATTGAAATAAAAAAAAAATCTCTATAAACTAAAGTTCATCCTGTCAAGACTCAAAAAAATTCCCCAATCCCCCCAAAACAAAAACAAGAACAAGAGACGACCGGATCCGAAATGGATTCCTCCGCCAGTCCGCCGGGCCCTGGTTGTCTTTTCCAAATTGGCATTGTAATGAATGAAAATTAATAAATTATATTTATTACATATATTTTTTGTTTACGGTATCCAATATTCCATTCAAATGCGGGCCAGTGCTGTACTATATTCTAGATCCGCCGTTGTTGCTAGCAGTGGGAAAGGGTGCAGTTCGGATCAGACTAGACCATTGGCACGGTCTCTGGTCCACCAGACTGAGAGGCTGGAACATAAACCATGGAGCAGATCATATACTATACGATCCAAACCAGATCATGCCTGTGCGGTGCGGTCCTGTATGGTCTAGACCAGGCAGACCATATTAAAAGAAATTCACTCTTATTCCGTCCT